TATGTGATTACATGCCTGAGGAAGCAAAATTATGATGAAAATGTTTCTCAAACATTTTATAAATAGGAAAATAGTAGATATAAAACATTAATTTCTTCATTCCCAGAGAAGCTAACCTCACCTCAATTTTTCTGTACTTTAGGGCAACACATTACTCATTGTAGGATCTTTACTTTTTTTAAACAAAAGTCATGATAAGGCTTCTGCTGTTCTTTAGGAGACATGTTTGATTTTATGATGCTTTTTTCTCTCTGCTCTGTAAACATGGGATTCAGAGATTTGTGATCGAAAACACAATAAATATCCCATATAAGGTGGCATCTGGTACTCGGTCTCTCAGAGACCACCTGTAGAGAGGTGGGGATGGAATGAAATCTTGCATTCAAGCCAGGAGTAGTCACATCACTACACCTATCACCTTGGACTATAGTCACCTCATCTGAATACAGGGGATTGGCTCTACAACTTTCAGTCTCTTCCAACTCCATTAACTCTATGACTACATCTGAATGATGAAGTCCATTCTTGCTGCTAGAGACAGTAGGTCATTGCTCTGCCTTGTCCTGCTTCTGAAGGACTCCAGCTTTGTGAATGCCATAGAGGAAGTACATGGTTTTCATAAATATCCTCAAGGAAGCCTTATTTTTCAATAACAGCTATGAGCCTATAATCGGCCCCTGTAATCTCATTAAAAATGCTTCCTTCCCATCCAAGCCCAACACATTCAAGAAGGAGAAAGACAACAAGTGTGGATACAGGGCAGTCTCCCTCTGCAGTCGGCCTGCTCTGGTAGAGTGGGCAGCCCTCTAGCCTTCGGGGCTGTTTGATTTGGCCTTTGCTGGTGAGGCTCTGGGAGGTGGGGCAGAGGCTGCCATCTGGACGGAGCCTGGGAGAGTCAATATTGAAAAGCCTATTTGTTGTTCTTTTTGGCCTCCACCTGTTGGAAACTCTGCAATGGGAGCCACTCAGAAAGGAAGAAGGGACAGCAGAGGAATTCCTGTACCGGAACAGTGAATGTTTTCATTGTTCCCCTGGGGATCACCCAAGAGAAACTGGCCTTTAATTATAGTTGAGAGCAGCATGTGGCAAGAAAACACAGTCAGAAATGGTGCCACGAAGCTTAAAGGGGACTCAGGAAGCACATCCCCTGCAAGGGTCTCTGGGCTCTCCAAGCCCACTTGCTAACTCTCCCCTACTGGGTGGCCCCCACTTCCCACCCCAAAGGAGGCAGCAACTCATGGCAGGAGTGTCTAAATGCCACCCACCCCAATGGGCTACCCAGATGCTCAGCTATTACCTATTTTCCTGTGTCACTGAGAAAACGGGGCCGGTCATCTAGGAAGCCCATCCACTTTCCTCCCTTGCTTGCTCCTTATGCTCACCCATCCGTATCCTCCTCCTCGTGTTTGGAGACTTGGGGGCTTCCTCACACCCTCTTGTGCTCTTCAGGTCCTCTTGCCTTTTATAGAACCAGAGCCTTAGACCCTACTCATTCCCCATCCCTTCTCTCTTCATCAGATTCTTGACCTCAGTCTACAAACATCTTCATGGCTCCTCTGTGCTTCTCTTCTTCCTTTAGCTCACACTACTGCCTTCCTTCTCCAGTCAGTCTCCTTGAGAGAGGCCCTCCTTACTCCTCCATTCCTTTACTTCCCGTTCACCCCTGAACCATTGTGTGGAGGCTTCCGCATTGTTCCAAGACAAAAATGAAACACAACAAAATTCCCTGTTCTTGGGCCAGTGAGCTTTGAGTTGCATATTCCAGGCTTCGTCATATGCATTTACCCTTCATACTCAACTATGATAAATTAGATGCCCATTACATGTCAGGCATATAGGACAGGAGAATACAAAAAAAAAATCCCTAATAAAGCCCATGTCCTTTGGATGAAGAGCCCATTAGGTTGACTTTATTTACTTTTTCCCAAAGTCAGCTGGGTCTGGGCAGGTACAGGGAACCAAAGGCTAGAAGGAGTCTGGAGTGACATGTGAGGTGTGGGGAGGGGGCATGAGGAAGGCTTAGGGCTCTAATGACACTCATTTCCTGGTATTGCCAGTACCCTGCCAGGTTTTGGGGCTTGCAGCAGCTATTTGGGGCTACAGGCCTTGGTGCCTAACCAAGGCCATTGTCCCAGCACTGTGGCAAGCAGCTGGTGGCAGGGTAGGCTAACATAGCTGGTGGCCCGAGTGAGCTGAATCCTGGCCATGTTCCTGTCCTGTACTCCCCAGCTACCTGCCTCTGTCACAGTAATCATCAATTCCCTGGCTGACTCCCCGGAAACCCGAGAGCTCTGGGGAAGACCTAGGTCCCGAACCAGCTGTACAACTTGCAGGGTCCAGTGCAAAATAAAAATGCAGGCCCCCCTAGTTCAAAATTATTAAGAATTCAAGGAGGTGACAGCAGAGCATTACACCAGGCAGGAGGCTCTTCTAGTGTCCAACTGCATGGGTCAATGCCCGGGAAGCCGGCCCTGCCTAGCTTTTTATTCATCACCTTGTGGTTGCTCAATAAGCACTCTTTAAATGAATGAGTTCGGGTTTCTCCAGCAACTCTGGAGAGGAGTCACTGGGATCCTAGGGAAATAGGAAGTGAAGATCCTCATCCTTCCTAAGCTTCAGGCTGCCACCTAGCCTGGGGCCACCAGTGAGTGCCTGCCCTGCCTCAGTGTCCTGTGTCCATACATGAGAAGAATCATCTTTGTCCGCCTCCTCTTCTCACTCTGAGAGTGAGAGAGGTGCAAGCTGGCCTTTTGGCATGTACATGCAGTGATTCCGTGATTCTGGGAAAGGAAGTGCAAATCAAAGACGTCACCATAAAACCCAAAAGATATGGTTGGTGTTTGTAGTGTGCAATGTCTAAGTGTTCTGAGAGCTTAAAGCAGCAATTTCCAACTGATGTGCCATAAGAATTTTTAAAACATGCCATACCTATTTAGTGAGGGGCACTGACCTCTTTTCCCTTAGATTGTCAGATAAAAGAATGACAACAGCCAACACAATAGCCGTGGGTGTGAATAAATCAAAATTATAGCTATTTTTTTTGTCAGTTTGGCAAAAAATAGATTTTTGGTATGCTGCAGAACGTTAGTGATTAGCTTATGTGTGCCAGGAGACAGAAACGGTTGAGAATCACGTGCCTAAGGGACCTATGAGTTAGGTGCAGTGAGACCCAGAGCAGCGGAGCGTGTCCGGCCCACGATGGGATCCCACAGGAAGCAGGGTCCTGTCAGACAAAGTGCATGGAGTTCGGTGAGGAAAGCAGCCCCTTAGATGGGGGCCCAGCCTTTCCAACCCTCTTTACCTCACCTGCCAAATAGTACAATTAATAATAACAGAAATATCCAAGAACAGCAAACACACTTGGAATATTAGTGTACCAGCTACTGTTCTAAACCCTTTAAAGATACATACTCACTTTGATCCTTAGAGCAACCCTGTGACGCAGGGAGTGTGACTATCCACATGCTGCTTAGGAAGAACAGTTCAGTTACTTGGCAAGGTCGTCGCTGACAGCTTGGAGCACCAAGGTTCAAATCCGGGTCTTTGGCTTCCAAAGTGAGTACTTAACCACAAATATCTTAATCCCTCATGGAACTGAGGGGCAAACTAGCGCCAACATGTGGAATTGCTTTAGAAGAGAAAGGCAATCTAAACCTGGAAGATTAGTAATATTTAACAACAACAGATGGTAGAAGCCTTGGATGCCATTTGATCTCCCCAGCCTCCGTTTGTTCCTCTGTAAAATGGGAGTGGGTAGGTTTTGCAACAGATACTCTCTAAGATCTTTTCCATTTCTCAGGTTCTGATGTGAAAAGTGTTCCTTTCCTGATGCAGCATGAGAGAAAGGGAAGCATCCAGTGCAGCCTGTTTTGCTCCCTAGAAAGCCCAGCCCTCAAATTTGTGTGCTTGAGCAACACCAAGGCAGCCCACCCTGACCTTGGGGCCTACACAGGCAAACATACCCCAGAACTGGAACGGAAAGGCCAATGCATAGGGCTGGGCACCAGGTGGAAGGCTGGGGAGGTGGCCTGACATCCTCCTGAAACTCAGTGGGAAGGGGGTCTGGTGCATCCCTCCTCCCGGGGTGGGTGGGGTTGGGGGAGGTAGTGGGCTTCAAGGAGAGGAAAGGACACCACAAAGATTTATGACAGCTGTTTAGTGTTTATTTCTGTCCCTCCAGGAACAGGGCTAAGTATGGAGGGTTGGGGAGAGGAATAGGGAGAGGAGGGCGGTCTAATATATTCACCAGCATGAGAATGACGGGCTCACCCAGAAGGGGCTGGGCTCCTCTGTGGGGGCCAGTGTCTGGGGAAGGATTCACCGAGGGGACATTTCAGTGGGGCCTGGAAGGATGAGTACTATTTCAACAGGTGGCAAAGAAAGGGGCAGGGCACTCCAGGCAAAGCAAGAACTCCCAGCAGCTGGAGTTTGGCAGCAGCCTGTATTCCTAGAGCACGGGTGCGTGTGTTTGGGGGACTTGGGTGAGGCTGAGGAGTTAGTTTGTGGCCAGAGAGTGGGCATGGAGGGCCTTGTGCACCAGGCTGAGGGCTATCCTTCAGCCTGACCGCCTTGGGAGGCCTTTGAAGACTTATTTAAAGCTTTATTAAACATATGTAGTGGATGCTTTTCTTTATACAGCATTCATGCCAACAGAAGAACATACAGAAGAGACAGAAAAGTATAAGGACCAGATCCCCAAAGTTAACAGCTGGAGTGGACCTGGCCGCTGCAGGTTTTCAGGGAAGCGTACCCATACTTCTCTCCAGGGTCCCTGGAGGTTCCAGAAGATTCTCCTCCTTTAAAGAAATGCGGGGCTCTGCAACCTGTTACCATTCTGGAATCAGGGCAAAGGGCCTAGTGGGACTCGGGAACAGAGGGGCCCAGGCAGCCGCACCAGTCCCGCAGGCTAAGTCAGCGGCAGCCCCGCCCCCGCCACCCAGGCTCCCTGGCTCTCTGAGGTCTCCTCCTGTGGGCCGGGACCCCAACGCGCCGCGCGCAGATTCTGGAGGGCGCCCCAGGGGGTGGCGGCCGGCAGCGCGGGCTCCCTGGCGCCGCCTCCAGTTCTGCGCGGCAGGGGACTAGTCCAGCCCGCGCGGTTCTGGGCGGAGAGAGTCAGGGGGAGCAGCCCCGCGGAGCAGGCGGCTACCTGACAGCTGTGAGCCCAGAGGTGGCGTCAGCAGCTGGGAGGGAAGCGGCGACTCCCGAGGTAGAGGTACGTGTTGACCGGTCACCAGGTGGGCGTTTCCCAGCCCCCTCTGCCTGGTGCAGCCCGGGAGGAAGGTGCTTCCTGCCCGAGGGCCCCGCAGCAGCCAAGTGAGCATGTGTGTGCAGCACATGGGTTCCTGGGAGGGCTGGCTCCGAGGGAACAGCTGAGTGCCCGACCCCTGTTCCCAGGCCTAAGCCTGAGGGGACTGGAGGAGGGCTGAGGAGCAGTGGGGCAGAGATCAGGAAGGGACCTCAGGGGTCCTTTTGCCACATCCAGCCTCTTCATTTGTCAGAGTGAAGTGACTGGCCCAGGGTCTCAGTTCCAGAAACCTGAAGTCCTCACTTGCAGGGCAGTGCTGCTAGGAGCTCCTGCCGCCTGGCTCAGGACAGCAGCACAGCTGTTGCCACGTGTAGAAACAAAGAACTGGGAGAGACAAAGTCAGAAAGTCAGAAAGAGACAGAAAGAGAGCCTCCCAGCACAAAGGAAGAAGGTCAGGAAATGGACTGCTACTGCTACTGCCACTGGGGCTGTACTTCCTCCCTGGTCGGTTGTGCTGTGGTCTGGAGTGTGACTCAGCTGGCTTGCTGACTCTGGCTCAGGTGTGTGTGAGTGTGTGTGTGTGTGTGCATGCGAGTGCATGTGTGTGTGCATGCATGCACGGGGATGCGGTGAATCTACCTGAGCATGTGGAAACCCTCTAAAACTGTGGATAGCTGTCCACTTACAATGAACTTGTTGGGAACCAGCCCTGTGTTTGGCTCTGAGGAAGATATCAGGAATCCCAAACGAATTAGCTTTGCGTTACTCCAGAGGGCAGAAAGGGCCCATGGGGGAGTCCCTAGGGGAGATCAGAGTTCAAGAGGAAGAACCTGATTCATGAGGTAGCAAGTTCCCTGTCTCTGGAAAAAACCAGGCCATACCAGAGAATTTTCTTATCAAGGAAATGGGCACGGGGATATGAAAGTAGGACAGCTTACTCCACATAGAAGCAGGATTTTAGTTTGAGGGTCCAGGGCTCATGCCCCTTTTTAGGTAACATCACCAAGCATGACCTCATTGGGTGGTGCTTCCTGTAAGAGCTACTCTCTGCGTATTTTTGAGTGACAACTGGGAGACTTCACAGGCGACCTCTGAGGCCCCATCACCGCTCAGTACTCTACTATAAGAGTGGTGAATGCCATGAGTCTAGGGGACTTTGGAGGAGGCAGGCCACTTCTGGAAGGAGTGGATCAGGATGGCATTTTGGAGGTGGCTGTGCCTCGAGGAGGAGGCTGGGTCTGGGCATTTCTGGGGCAGGGACACCTGAGCAGAGTCATGGAGGTGGGGAATGTCTGGGGACAAGGGAAGATGTGGTGGAGATGTGGTGAGGAATGTTGGTTGGAGTTTTTGGAATTGTGATGAGGAATGGTGGAAGGCCTGGAGCATTAGGCTATGGAACTTGAACTTCATTCCTAGGCCTGGGGGCTTTTGATGGGAAGGGGAATGGGTTATTGGGCTGGATTCAGAAGAAGTTGGCGCTTGGCAGCAATATTTGGGAAGCACTAACAGTGAAGGAAGCGGTGGGAGGAGAACTGGGAAGGAGAAGATTGCAGTGACAATGTGCGGCTGAATAGAGCTGTTGGGAATGGAGAGGATGGGGCTTGACCAGAGACATTGCTAAAAGGGATGTATATGTGTCACAGAGAAATAGGCCAAGGCCTGTGGTAGGGCGTTATCACACATGATCTTACCCAACCCTCCCAACAACCTTGTGAGAAGATTATTATGTGTAGGAATTTCGTAGAGGAGGAGATGGAGGGTCAGAGGTTAAACAACTTGTCCAAGGTCACACAACAAATAAGTGGTGGGGCAGGGACTTGAACCCAGAGAGAGATGGAATAGACCCAATCTGGTAGCCGAGTAAGTAAATGTCAGAGGCCGAGCAGAGGAGGAGACCTCAACGATGGAGATTGGGGTTCCAGTGCTGGGCAGGGAACCCCAGGAGTGGGTGTGAATGACCCACATCCAGCATGGTTCAGGGTTCAGGCTCTGGAAGAGGGGCCGCACGCAAATGACAGAGATGAGACAAGAAATAATAATTTGGAAATTGGGGGGCCAGGCGGGAAGCCATCCCAAGAGGAAGGACTCCATTAGGCTGAAGCCTTGCCATCCTTTTATTCAGTTTGGGATACACCTATAGCCCTTAGGCAGGCAAGTTCCAGTAACAGACTATCTTATCAGAAAGGATTTACATGACTATCTGGTGGGGAAGTTGCTTCAGCTACCATTGTCTGGACTAAACAGTGGGTGCATAGCCATTACCTTTGCCAGGGCTCAAGGGTCACCAGCATTCCAGGCTCCTTGTCCACCCCTCTCTGCTAGAGAAGACAATAGGCGGCTTCCCACAAGGGGGGTCAGGTTTGGTGGGTGATTGCAGGTGTGGGAGCCTGTGATGGCAGCATGCACGGGGATGGGGGCTGCAGTGTCCATCTGTTCTGCACCCCCTGACCCGAGGCTCCTTGTTGTGAATTCCCTGAGCGTGCTCTCGGAACCTATAGGCTGCTGGGATGCTGGAAGGCGCTGGGAGAAGTTGTGCTGAGGGAGGTGGTGGGGGATCCCCTGGGATCTGGCAAGTCAGTCACTGAATTCACATCACTCCCTTGCTTTTCTCCCACCCAGAACAATTGTGTGTTCTGTCTCAGTGCACAGGGGACATGGGCACTTGCCAGACCTCACTGGTCTAGAATTAGTTCAGTTTATCATGTTGCCCTGTTCTTGGTTCCCTCCTATGTTTGACCTCTAACAACGGTTATACAGGTCCCAAAGATGTGGCTGCAGACTATTGTGGAATTCCAAAAGTGCAGCTTCGGGAGCCACATGTCATAGTACCTGGTGATCTAGGGACAAGCCTGCCCTATATTTCAGATGGGGAAACTGAGGTGTCAGAAAATCATGGCCCTTTGCCAATGGCAGAATGAGTGGCAGAGAGGAGACCAGACCCTTGGGCTCCTGACTCTCAGGCTTTGCTCTCACCACTGCCATGTGGGGAAGCAGCTGCTTGGAGAGCAGCTTCCAGCGTCCCCCATAAAATAGCCCTTGGGGCGATTTTTAAAAATAGGCTTCAGCATTTGATGGACCATTGCAAGCTGTTATTCTCTTTTTCTCCCTTAAAAACACAAAGTCACAAAATGCCACATTATTTCCACTCATCCATCTAGGGGTCAAGTAAGTTCTTTGACATCTCAAATCGTTTCCTTTTTCTGAGAGAACTTTGGTAAGGCACGGTGTAGTTAGAGAGCCAGAGAGTGTCCCTCACGTGTGCAGGGTCAGTGCACGCAAGGTGCCTGTGCGCACTGCTGGCACCTAGGGCACTGACAGGGAAGACCAGAGAGGAGAGGATGGCTGTGGGAGAAGAGGAAGGAGGGGGAGCAGCAAAGTGAAGAGAAAAATGAAAAACTGAGTTGATGGCCCAGACACCTCAGTGGCACGGGCAGATGTCTTGAGGACATACACTTTGGGAACCTGGCTCCCCAATACTCAGAGAGGCAGAAAAAAAAAGAGCTAGTCGGCCTTAGAATTTATTGTGCAACTGTTCACAATAAATTGAGAGAGAAAGGAAGAGTGTTAATAATGATGCTGGGACAGCAGGCACAAGCCAGGATGTCCTGGGCACACTGGTCATCCTCAGGACAACCAATGTACATTAAATGCCAGACATGAGCTTGCTTGTTTAAGCCTCACTACAACCCAACCGCATAAGCACTGCTATCGTTCCCATTTTACAGAAAAATTAATGGAGAAACAGAGAGGCAAATATCATACCCACTAGTAAATGGAGGAAGCAGGATACCGAGTAGGCACTGCTATCATTCTCATTTTACAGAAAAATTAATAGAGAAACAGAGAAACAAATATCATGCCCACTAATAAACAGAGGAAGCAGGATTTGAACCCAGGCAGTTTGGCTCTGCCAGTGCCCATGCTTCAGCGTCACCTATGCTGGCCCTCCCCTCAGCTGCCTTCTTTTAGGACTCAGCAGTGAGCTTTTGGGTCTTTGTTTCCCACTGGAAGCTGATCTCAGTGGCCAATTTAGCATGGCTGCATCTGCATAAAAAATGAGTTTGTGGTTGAGGCCGAGGTGCTGGGGTGGGCTGGGGGAAGCGCTCTGTAGGTTTTATCTTCTACAGACTGCACCTTGTTCAAACCAGCCTTGACCACAGGTCTGCTTCATTCTTTCCTTGTACCCACTCTGCCCTTTCAGACTAAGTCAATGGACCAATGGACTGGGTTGGACATAAGAAGGCCCTCCTGAAGACCATTGCTGGGATGGGTTCCTGAAGGCCCTCATCTGCCTGGGTGACGCGAGGGATCGCTGTCTGATGGACAATTTTGCATGCAGGGTCTCCCCTAGCTTGAGGAATATGGCATTTTCTTTTGTGACAGATTCTTCTGGGGACAGTGCATTCCCTTCTTCAGTTTGTTTTGGCTCCCAGCCCGGGCTTTTTCTGAGTGTCAGCAGGGCTCTTTCTTACCCGGCCTGCCTGTTGACACATCCGGGATGGGCTGGCCCAGAGAGGCATTTACAGGGGCAGAGCCCGACCCTGGGTGATGCTCCAGGCCTTTCTAGGAGATGCAGGGAGGTCGGAGCAGCCAGGCTTTAAGGGCCTCTGTTCCCACTGAACCTGCTCTGAAGACCCCTTATGCCCTTCCCAGGGCTGGGCAGAATGTGTGGCTGGGCCTGAGAACTTGTGGGAGGGTGGGAACTGTGCCTTATGCAAGAGAGCTCCCGTGGGGGGGAAAGGGGGCTGGATTGGCTCAGCACCCAGCCTTCTGCTCTCAGTGCTCCGCTGGGTCTGTGCAGTTCTGTGCTCTGCTGGGCTTAGGAAAGGTGAGAAGGGCGAGACTTTAGCACACATGCCTTGGGTGTGCCAAGACCTTCCTTAACTCCCTTTTAAACTCACAGTAGCACGGGGGAAGTAGGAAGGTGGCTACAGTGGCTCCATTAATTACCAGTTCAGACAAAAGGG